AGGCCAGCCTGGGCTACCAAGTGAGTTCCAGGAAAGGCGCAAAGCTACACAGAGAAACCCTGTCTCGAAAAACCAAAAAAAAAAAAAAAAAGAACATTGGACATTTTAGCCTTGATAATTATACAAGCAATTATAAGTGTTTAAGATTAGATCTAAATCTGAGAATGAAAAAATGTGCAAATCTTTGGAAGTAGAGGGTTATTGGTCCAATGGTTCTTTGGAAAATTTTGGAGTGTCTGATAATATTTCTGAAATATTATTTTTCAGGAACTTTTTTTTCCTTTTTTTAGATAGGATCTGATATAGCCCTGGTTGACCTCAGATTTACTGTGTATTTGAGGATGACTTTGAATTCTAATCCTCTTGCCTGTACATTTCCAGTGCTGGGATTATAAGTCTGCTTTACTTTACAAGTACAAGAAATATTTTGTAGATGTATTCTAGGAAATAAGTATAAAAATGTGTGCTGGTCAGTGGTGGTGCACACCTTTAATCTTAGCACTCAGGAGGCGGAAGCTGGAGGAGCTCTGAGTTGGAGGCCAGCTTGGTCTACAGAGTGAGTTCCAGGACAGCCAGAGCTATACAGAGAAATCTTGTCTTGAACAAAACAAAAAAATGACTGAGGGATCTGGATGCAGAGATCCACGGTTAGGCCCTGGGTGGAGCTCCGGGAGTCTAATTAGCGAGAAAGAGGAGGGTTTATATGAGCGAGATTTGTTGAAACCAAGGTTGGATAAAGCACAGGGACAAATAGCTAAACAAATGGAAACACATGAACTATGAACCAAAGGCTGAGGGGCCCCCTACTGGATCAGGCCCTCTGAATAGGTGAGACAGTTGATTGGCTTGATCTGTTTGGGAGGCATCTATCTAGGCAGCGGTACGGGGTCCTGTGCTCATTTCATGAGTTGGCTGTTTGAAACCTGGGGCTTATGCAGGGACGTTTGGCTCAGTTTGGGAGGAGGGGACCGGACCTGCCCAGACTCGATCTCACTCCTGTGGGCTGTCATCTCCTAACTCAGCCTTCCTTTTCCCAGAATTCTCCTTGTCTGTTTATCTGGCCTATAATTTCTGCCTGGCTACTGGCCAATCAGCTTTTTATTTATCAACCAATCAGAGCAACACATTCACAGCATACAGAACATCCCACAGCAGACAAAATAATACAAAATGCACACAAAAAACCTTGAAGTCTGTTTTGTGTTGACCAACTACTCCTGGGCATGGGGCCTGCCCTAGAGTGTGGTTTATGTACCCAGTTACACTCCATTGGAAAAAACTCGAGTTTTAGGGAGTTTTTTTAAAAAGGGGACTGGTGAGAACTGGAACTTAAAACACTGAAAGCAAGTTACAGGGGCCCTGGTTCTTATTATAAGGGTGTATATAAAACCTTAACTAGAACTATCCTTAATAATTAATGTAGGTTTCTTTTAACGTATTACAGACACATAGTTATTAACTTTATATGATTTAAGTTAGATGTATATGGTTTCATATGTGAATAAGTATATGGTTTCATATGTGAATGGAGGCCAGAGAGTATCATTTCTCAGAACAGTCCACCTTGTTTTTTGAGATAGGTTCTCTCACTGGGACCTGGGGCTGCCCTATTTGATGAAGCTGGCTGACCAGCAAGCCCCAAAGATCTATCTCTGCCTCTATAGCACTGAAATTATTAAGCATCTGGGTTTTTATATTGACTCTGGAGGACTAATTTAAGCTCTCATGCTTGCATGCTAAGTACTTTACCAAAACTGTCTCTCTAGTCTTTGTAATCATCTTTTGTTTTGTGTTTTCTGTATTATAATGTTTGACTAAAATATTTTAAAGCATACTCCGCCTCCATATTTGTTTTATATCCTTGCTGCTAATGATATGAATCATTTATAATTCATTACCAATTAAATGATGGCACAAAGAGTTACTAGAATCTAACCTGGGAAGGTGGTTACATCTAGTGGGAAACATAGTGTAACCAGCTGGGATATCTTTTTAGCTTGGAGTTTTCCTGCCTTGCCCACAGTCAGGACAAATCTCTCTCACCTGCCAGTCCCACAGCTGCTCAGACCCGACCAAATAAACACAGAGACTTATATTGTTTACAAACTGTATGGTCATGGTAGGCTTCTTGCTAACTGTTCTTATAGCTTAAATTAATCCATTTCCACAAATCTATACCTTGCCACGTGGCTCATGGCTTACCGGTACTTTACATCTTCCTTGTCCTGGCGGCTGCTGCATATCTTCCTTTTAGGAGGGGAGAATAAAAAGGTCATATTGGCCATTTGTTTTATTAATATCTTGTTTATTTTTATAGTTTTTGTGCCTTTTATGTAAACTTTTTGTGAAAGTTTTTTTAAAGGCAATTAATATGAAAATTACAAAAACCAAAGAAAAATGGTAATTGATAGTAATTAAGACATAAAATCAATAATTATAACATTTTTGAGTAATATAATGCATACAGTGATTAAATTGAAGAAACACCAGGCAGTTGTGGTGCATGCCTTTAATCCCAGCACTTGGGAGGCAGAGGCAGGTGGATCTCTGGGAGTTTGAGGCCAGCTTGGTCTACAGAATGAGTTCCAGGACTACACAGAGAAACCGTGTCTCAAAAGAAGAAAAAGGGGGAGGGGGAGGAGAAGGAAGAAGAAGGAAGCAAGTTGGGGTGTTTTATCTAATAAAGATGGATTTTAACAATTTGATTATTTAATGAACACATTTTAAGTCTCAGCAATTTATTTGAAATAGCTTTTGAAATCCATAAGTTCACATTTCTGTGTTTTTTTTTTTTTTTTTTTTTTTTTTTGGTTTTTCGAGACAGGGTTTCTCTGTGTAGCTTTGCGCCTTTCCTGGGACTCACTTGGTAGCCCAGACTGGCCTCGAACTCACAGAGATCCGCCTGGCTCTGCCTCCCGAGTGCTGGGATTAAAGGCGTGCGCCACCACCGCCCGGCCACATTTCTGTGTTTTATGTTGTCATTTTATGGCTGTTTATGTTTTAGCATAATGGTAAAATCTCTTCTGAATGTAAAACATGGCTGAATATTGGTAATAGAGGAATATTTCTGAAATGGGTATGGACAAGTGAATGCTCAGAACTTTGTATATCCCTGGCCGTTTTACAAATAAGTATATATATCAGGCTGGCTTGGGACTCATAGAGATCTGCATGTCTCTGCCTTCTGAGGTTAAAGGCTTGCACCATCATGCCCAACTTTCATCAAATTTTAGAGGCAAAGGAAGAGACTACCACATAGAAAGTGTGCTATTACTAAGACAATGCTAAACATTTCTTAGGCCATTTAGGCAGGTTCACAGGATTCAGATGGGTGCTTTTTTTTTCTTTCTTTTTTTTTTTTTTTGTCTTAACTTGTTTATGTGTTTTGTTTTTCAGAAGGAATTGAGCCTTCCAAGGAGAGGCAGCTTGTAAGTAGTTGTTCCTTACCATTATGATTTTGTCTGTGATGGTCTCCTGATTGGGAACTGTCTTAAGAACCTATTGTTAATATCCATTGTAGAAATCTCATTCAAGAGTCTTTTTTTCTGGATGCTGGAAAGATAGATGGTTCAGTGGTTTATAGCAGAGGACTTGTGTTCAGTTCCCAGCACCCACATGGTGGCTTGCAGCTATCCATAACTCCATTTCCAAGAGATCTGATGCCCTCTTCTGACCTCCATGGGCAACAGGCATACTTAGGTAAACATTTAGTACACAGACATATGTACAGGCAAACATTCATTTCCACTTTAAAAAAAAAAAATCTCGTTTTCTGCTTATGTTTCTCATTAGGTCAGAGACTTTTTCCCTCAGTAACCTCCTTGCCCCAAGTCCCCTTCTCTGGCCCAAATTTTGCCTAACAGTTCGGTAGAAGTGCTGTCACATACTCATCACAATTATATTCTTATTTTAGGATTTACTTTTAGTAGATTTATTAAGCTAAGAATGTTGGAGTATTAAATCTGAAATTCTTTGTGTCTGTTATTCTACAACATGGCTATGGTGAGGCAAATGGTTCTTCTGATAAGTTGGAGCAAATGTTGCTACATTTAGAGAGTAGATTAAAACAGGTTCCCATTCTCTTTTAATCTGGATTCAAGGTTAGTGGAAATTGGAAAGTAGTCTTTGTCCTTGGATTTTAATTTCTTATGTCTTATTTGGGTACTTTTTTCCTAAGAATTCTTGGGGATTCGTTGCTGATTTGGCTAATTGGAATCTCTAGAATGTGTGTTAAAAAGCATAATTTGGTGTTGGAGAAGTAGCTCAGTGGCAGCAGAATATATGCTTAGCTTGGATGAGGCTCATGCATGAGGTTCCATCTCTGGCAATGCAAAGTAAATAAAGGTAAAATGTGAATTTCCTGAATTAGAATTTCCATGCTAAGACTCGTCAATTGTTATTTGATTGAACTTTACCTAATTTACATTCATACCAACATCTACTATAATTGACTAACTAAGGTCAAATTTGGAAAACACCAGGCTAAGGATATGTCTTAGTGGACAATTGTACATGCTGCACAGGCATTAGGACCTGGGTCACATCCCCCAAACTCACCTGAAGCTGGGCTTAGTACTGCATATATGCATCTCAGGGTTCTTATGAGAAGATGGGAGGTGAAGGTAAGGACTGGCTAGCTGAGCATGTACAGTGGCAAACAACAAAGAGACATTGTCAAGCACTGGAGGTTGCCCTCTTGACCTCCACACATGTGTGTTATGACGTATGTATGTTCACGCTTACACAAACATGCATACTCATACATACACACCTGTGAGAACACATGCACACACACAATTTTTGTAACTATTAAAGGACTAGAACTATGATAAACAATGGCTTTGAAACTTTTCCTTATGAAAACATGAGCTATTGTATATGAGGTAGGTAAAATGGTATTATTTGTTTATTAAGTGCACTAAAGAGATTTAGTGTATGTGTGGATGAATATGATTATGCTACGCCATATGTGCAATCAGAAGATAATTAGCAGGAACCTCTTCTCTTCATCATGTGGGTTCTGAAACTTGAACTCAGGTTTTCAGGGTCTGTGGCAAATGCCTTTACCTTTTGAACCATTTACTAGCCTTTAAATATCTCTGTCTCTCTGTCTCTGTCTCTGTCTCTGTCTCTCTCTCTCTACCTCTACACACACACACACACACACACTACACAAATACATGCCTTTCCCCCCTGCCTTTAAATGAATTGGTTTCTTTCAAGGGGATACAGAAGTCAGAGTACAACGAAGATGGAACAGTAGGCGCTGGCAGGATTCCATATTAAATTTGCTTTAAATTCACAGCTGAGGTAGGAGTAGCTGAATGAGAACTATAGACAATAGCTACTTTACGTTGTTTTTTTAAACAAAAGTTTATTAAAATGTACAACAGGCTCCATGGCAACACTTGATTCTACCTGTAGGTGGTAAAAGATGTTAATGGCAGAGAATCAATATGTTTAAATAGGAATAGAAGAAGGTCACCATCACAAGGAACAATGTACTTTTTGCCAGATTTCTTAATTCTGTTTGTGATCTGGGGGTCCTTGTCCATGGCCTTCGCTCTTAGTTCCTCAAATTTCTTCTGCTTCTCTTTTTGTTTCCACTTGAAAACCTTGTCTTCCTCATCCTCCTTCTTGGGCTTTTTCAATGGCTTCTTTTTGCCACCTGTGGGTGACATGAGCATGCTTGGCCTGTCCCTATTGCCTGTTGCTTAACCCTGTGTCCCCCATCCACTTATCTCTCAGTCCCCAATGTATTTACATATATTTTAAAGTATGAAACAGATAATTTTGTTCCTATTGAGTATTTTACTTGTATAATTAAGTTGTTCCCTGAGGGTTTTTTTTAAAACTGTTTTAACAAAAGCTCATTGAGTTTAATGTAAAGGAACTCTGGCTGTGAGTTAGAACTGGGATTCAATCTTGACTGTGTCACAGAATGGACTGTGTAAACTTAGACAGATAACTTCATTTTTAATTAAATCTTAGTTCCCTAATCTTTGAAATGAAGGTTATGACACCTGCTTTCCATTACTGTTAAAACTATTAGAAGGATAACTTAATAGTATGCAATGCTGCTTCTTTAATTATGGTTTTGTTCTAAGATGTACTATTTTTAAAATGGTTATTAAGCATCTTAGGTTAAGTTTGGATAAATTCTATCTCTTACAGCTATATTTCTTTTTTAAAGACTATTTTATGTATGTAAGTGTTTTGCCTGCATTTATGTACATATGGCATGTTTATGAAGTGCCAGAAGAGAGGCCCGAGAGGGTTTCAGATCCCTATTGAAACTCTAGTTGTTTAGGCTGGGAACTGAACCCTGTTCCTATGGAAGAGCAGCCAGTGCTTTTGCCACTGACCATCTCTCTAGCCCCTCTGTTTATTTAAATTCAATTTTATAGTAGGTTTTATTTCTAGTGTTACAGGTGTAACACTAGAAGTAAAATCTTCTCAAATTTGGTCAAGGTAGGAATCCTACTAGGACTCAGTTGGAGTGATGTCTTGAGTAGTTGTGCATTATGGAGATGGTAGCTTTTCAACATTATATTTAGCACATATATGTAATTGGTTATTTTCTACTATGTCTTCCATTTTCCCTCTTTTATTTTCTCTATTTGGAAGTTCTCTGAGATTTTCCATTTCTTAATATTAAATGAAGTTGAACTAGCAAGATGGCTCATTGTGTAAAGGCACTTACCTCCAAGCTTGATGACCTAAACATGATTCCTAAGACCTACATAGTGGAAGAATTAGCTCCCTAAAATTGTCTTGTGATCTCCACAGGTGTGTTCAGGCATGTACACACCAACAGAAATAAAAAAATTAAAAGGGGAAATCAAAGCCCAAGACAGGTATGCTTCCAATAAATAAAGTTTCAGGGAAGGAAGAAAAGAAGAGATATGCTTACTTAATTTGGTACTAGAAGGATATTTTGATCACACAAGCTCTGAAGTAAGCATAAGTGCCAACCAAAGTCAGTCAGTGCTAGCTGAGCACAATAACACATGCTATTATCCCAGCATTCAGGAAGGTAAAGCATGATGACTGTGATTTTGCTTATAGGGAGAATCTATCTTTAAAACAAACAAGAAATATTTTAAACATTAGTAAAGAAAGTTAAGCTACTCCAGGCCTTAAAATGTTAATAATGGTCAGCAATGGTCTTTTTTTGATATAGTAACTGACATTTAAACAACTGATCATTCAGTAAATGTCCCCTGATAACCTGCTGTATGCTGGAAACGAACTGAAATTATCAGTTTAGAACTTAGAAAGTAGGTATATTCCTTTGAAGTGCTTATAAGGTTGACTAAACCAGAAGTTCTTCACTTTGTCACTGCAAATAATATCATCTATATGTCAATATGAGCACATGTATGGGTGAGTATTCTTGCATGTATGTAGTTTTGTATGAGTAGCTGCGTGTGCATGTTCATGAGTTGCACGAGCATGTGGAGGCCAGCAGTAAACTTTGACTGTCATTCTTCAGACTTCTGAGATTGTCTGCTAGGTTGGACTTAACCAGTTAAACAAGATTGTTGGCCAGTGAGCCCCTGAAATCTGCCTTTTCCCTTGCTGGGTTTATACATGCAGGCCATCATACTTGGCTTCTCTGTGTGAATTATGAGGATCACACTCTTGTCCTCACGCTTGCACTGTAAGCAGTTCACCCCCTGAACTGTCTCCCCAGCCCAAACTCGCTTTTTATCTCTAAATTTGGAAATGTTCTTTTTTTTTTTTTTTTTTTTTTTTTTTTTTTTTTTTTGGTTTTTCGAGACAGGGTTTCTCTGCGTAGCTTTGCGCCTTTCCTGGAGCTCACTTGGTAGCCCAGGCTGGCCTCGAACTCACAGAGATCCGCCTGGCTCTGCCTCCCAAGTGCTAGGATTAAAGGCGTGTGCCACCACCGCCCGGCTTGGAAATGTTCTTACAGCAATATCAGAGACGGGCTGAATAAAAAAATAGAGTTTTAATTTGGTTTATGGTTCGGGAGCCTGAAAGTTTAAAAACATGTGCCACCATCTGCTCAGTTACTGGTGTAGACCTTATGCTACTTCAACTCAAGACAGGAAGAAGTAGAACTAATAGTCACATTCAGCCTTGCTGCTTTTGACATAATTAAATCTAATGTTAGGATAAAGGCATTTATTTTTCTTAGCAACCCAATTATTTTCTGAAAACCCTCCTACATCTTCCATATTGTTACCTTGGAAATCACATTTCACTGTTGGTTTGTTAGAGGGATGAGCCATATTTAGACCATAGCAGACACTAATCTAGGCTTTGGCCATTAACAAGTTCTCTGTAGCTTTAAATAGGAACTGTGTAATTTCTGCACTGTAATTGCCTTATGAGAATTGAAATGAATGGCTGCCTGATCTCTATGTCTGATTATTTCCTCGGACAATCAAAGACTCATGGAACC